ATGAGACAATAGAGCCATCGAAAGCAGCTCGTAAACCTCTACTCATTGCTTCTTCTTCCTCTAGTTTCTCTTTTAGATGCATCACCTACATAAACACAAACATTCAAAATCATATAAGGGAATAAAGAATTTTGAGTTTTTTTTTTTGTTATTAGGATTAGAGATAGATGCTTACTCCTTCTTCTAAGCCATGTCTCTTGTTATTGTGTTGTTGTGAAGCTTCCATGAGAAGTTCCTCAAATTTCATGCGTTTTTTTAAAGTTTCAGAGAAACAGAAAAGAACGAATCGAGTCTAAGTAGAGAACGAGAAAGATAGTATATTATATGATTAGATTGAAACGTGGGAGTCATTAAAAGGGTCGGTCGGAGAATTGGACCTAATTAGGGAGTAGTTACAACTTAAAAATGTAAAACCATATGAAAACTGAAAAGGAGTATTTATCCGGATAAACCGATTTGATCTAATCCAAAATGAACCGAATCAAAATATTTGTTTTTATTTGAAAATGAACGATACCTCGAAAGTTTAAATGGATTCATTTTTTTATAATTTAAAAACGAAATCTAAAGTAAAATCCAACTGATGAAAAATAAAAATCGAAAGTTTATTTGTAAATTGATATATATTAAATTTAAATAGATTAAAAGTTCGGATACTATTGTTCATAAACTATAAATCTAAAATACCAAAAAAAAAAATGGAACCGAAACCAGAATTCGGATTGAAACAATTAATAACTTTTGTTTTGGTCACTTGAGATTGTTAAGGATAATGTAACTCACATGAGACTTGCCAGAATAACGGCGGATGGGATTCATACGAATAGAAACACAAAAAAAGACTTTCATTATTATTACAAACACAGGTTTTTAGAGGTGGGTTTGACGTGAACCCCATCATCCTAGAGACTACTTTCAGGTATAATCTGATCTTTTTTATCCGAAATTTTGTTGGGTTTACGGTCAATACAGGCAATGCCATTCACAAAGTATTGGCTTAGAGAAATATATGAACGAAATATACCTATTTCCCACCCTATGTTTACCTCTACAAAATATTTTCTAACGCTGAAATTATAAAATAAAACCACACTCGGTTCGAAAGC